AGAAGTCCAGCGCCGCCGGGCCAGTCCCCACTCGCAGCAGCACAAAGCGGCGCGGCACGAGTGGCCGCGGCGCACCAGGGCGTCAGGGGCGCGCGCGCACGCGCTTTCCCCATTGGTCCCGAGGGCTGGCCAGTCCCCGCCTCCGCTTGACGCCGGCCCTGCCGTTTAAATGCCTCCCGACGGGCGCCCGCCGCGCCTTTGGGTCCTGAGCTAGTGGGCTGTTGCGGGCGCGTTGGAGGAGGGAGTGCAGAGCGCGCGTCTTCCCCACCTCTTCTTCCTCGCGGCTAAGGGGGCTCGGCGACTTCCCGGGCAGCCCCCATGAAGAAGCCGCCTCTTGGCTTGGCCTCGTAGCCCGCTTTGCGGCGCCAGCCCCGGCCGCCTTTCGTCGCCATGAGCTGTCTGGATGTTATGTACCAAGTCTACGGTCCTCCTCAGCCTTACTTCGCAGCAGCCTACAGTCCTTACCACCAGGTAGGTCGCTGGACGGGCGCTTCCCTCCAAAGGGCGCGAGGTTGCGTGGCCTGGCGCTGGTCCCATTCGCCTCGGGGTTGATTTCGCGCTGTCGGCGAACGGCTTCCTCTTTCCCGGAATGGATGGGTGCCCGGGTGGGGGGGGGGTGGGAGGGTACAGTAGGGTGACTACTTGTCACCCCTTTTGAAATGCTTGGACTGCAAGGGGGCTTGGCGGAGGATTCCGTTTCTCCCTGTTCTTTGTGGATTCGGCCGAGTTCCCTTGCGTAGGATCGAATCCGGGCGGGCGGGCGGGCGGGCGATTTCTTCCTGCGGAAAACTCCGAGAGCAGACCCTAAACGGACTATTGGAAACACAGTCCCTGCCAAATCGCTGATGGTAAACCTTTGGGACGCCCGCGGGATCCAAGCAGATTCCCCGCCCTGGCCGCCACGGTTGGCAGCGGCGGAATTAAGAGATTCTTACCTGCAACTGTCGTTTAGCTTTCAACTTAGAAAGATGTACGGTACTCCGAGCGCTGGCTCGGATAGCGAAAGCAGCTGAGCAAATCGGAAATTCATCTACGTTGATTTCGATTGTGGAATTGGTGCGCCAGAGCTTCTGTCCCAACAAACATTTACGGCTCCCTCATTTTTTTTAAAGATAGCTCCGTGAAGACCTCCAGCCACATGCATAGAAGAAGGCAGCGGTGTTGTATCGGGCCTTATGCCGGGATCTCACCTGCCAGCCAATCTCTCTGAATTCGAGATACTCTGCGTACGTGTTAGGCGTTTTTCATGGGTTTCTAAAACCCAGCTCACCTGCTTTGCAGGCTTTTGCTACAACGGCCAACTACCGGTAGGAAATCTCTTCCTCATACAGCGTATCCCGTTGTGAGAAAGTGCCGTTACGAAATGGAACTGGTTCTTGCGTCTTCATTTAGACCCGTGGTTTGTGGTCATGCGGACATCCCTATACTGTCTGCGTTCGTGATAGGACGTGACTGAATGACTATAAATCGCTAGCTGGATACCTTTTAGGATCTTTTGTTAACAATTAAGGAAAGTCCTTTTTTTTAATCATTTGAACAAACTTCTAACCAATGTGATTAGAACTAGATTGTACAGCTAATTAATATACCCCTTTAGACAGGGTATCTTTTGTAGTTTAGAATAAATTCGTCCTGAGCAGGCCTAATATTGTTTATGTTGTTGTTTACGGTGACAGAAAAATACTGCGTTTAATTGTAAACCTGTTAGGATAAAGTGGGATTTAGAAGAAAATTGCACCTGTTTTGCTTCCCCTCCTCTCCTTTTGTTCCGAAATGAAGTGCTGTTTGGGCTGCCTTCTAAAGCCGTCTGAAGTCGCAAACATCAAGGAAAAGGCGCTCTGCGTGCCACTGAAGTGCCTAACTTCTGCTTCCCAAGAAATCGTTTAAAATAAATTTGGCTTAAATCTTCAGGAAACTGAAATCAGTTTTCTCCACAAAATGAAAAAAAAAATGTCAAGGCAGCGTGTTCATTTGCTTCTTCCCCCACCTTCCACAATAATCTTAAATTTATCTCCGCTGTCTTACTTTATATAAATAGCAACAAAATTACCCGTTGCCATTATTCTATTTGAAGAACACTTACTAGTAAACTCAGAACGAAGGGTCTTCACCAAGAGGATGCTCCATTTTCATTACCTGCTACCTTGTGGAATGCCAGAGGATTTTCCATTGGAATATTGTCCGTGGTTGCTTTGAAAGCCAGGTGTTTTAGAATTGTGGGGCGCACACACGATGACATTAAGGGCTGTAACCTGCAGTGCACTTTCCGAATAAAAGAAGTAGACATGTGCCTGAAATAACCTGAACATCAGAATGGAAGGATTCTGGAAAGGAAAGGTCTTAAGACTGAACAATTTATTGGCTTGTAATGGTATACTTTTCCCCTTTCTGAGCAGCAATGGATCAACTGACCTTCCCAAATTTTTCTTATCAGAACCAGTGTCCCAACAAGTTTCAGTTCCCAAAGGAAGACCGCCTGCAACATGTTAGGATAGGGAGGGCATCAGAATGTACTGGCCATCACAGTTAGTAGCCATTGGTAATCGCTTTCTCTGTAACTGGGAATTCTTCCAGTTGCCCTCCCACTTGACTTTCGAGGGGAAAAACATTGTTGATGTAGAGATTGGTCGAGCCTTGTTTGTTCGCTGACAAAGTCCCCATTTGAAAGCGTTTCTCCGATTTAGTTTTCCAGGCACTTAACACTGCATCCGAATCCAAATTATTTGTTTCGGCCCTTCCCAAAAGCAGCAGCTGCAAGCAGCTTAACCGCGGGAAAGCCAACGCGGAAAGTGTGTAGCCGACTTTCGAGAGAGCGCCCTTTCTTCTTCAGAACCTCGTAAACACAATCTCTTCCTTTCCAAAATGCCTTTCTCCCTCTATTCGCCACAGAGATGCGTTTCCCCCTTTCCCCAAAATCTATTTTGAAACGGTAAATCACTTGTCTATTTCATTTCAAACCCCACCTCACTGTATCTCCTTGTTACCAACAAGGATTTTTCTGCTTGGGCTAAATATGGGAAGAGCCCCGTGACTTTAGGACGTCCACCTCGTGAAACGCCCCTTCAAAATGCTCGTGATTCCTAATGTCTAATTTTTCCCAAGAAAAGAAATTAAACTAGGACCCCTGCAGGCATTTGCTCTGAAGAGAGGGCAGCCTTCCGCCCGAGAGACAGAAGTCAACCGGAACTCTGCTCCGTGGTCCTTGAGAATCTGTACATTTGGGACAGAAGTCAAGTCTCTTCAAGATCTATTCTTGGTCACTCGTTGCGGTAATATTGGATCTAATGAATCCTGTAAAAGTCGACAATCACGGTCTTCCCCGGAGGTTCTGGGTCCCCCAGTTTCCAGAGGGTGAAACTGGTTAGATCCTAGCCTTGTGGCACCCTGAAGCCGAAGGCTCAAAGTATAGCTTAAAATCGCAATCAGGTTCAACGATCTGTTTAGAGTAGTTTTCCCGTGCTTATAGTGTTTAATGTGCTATTTCTTGGGACGTCCCTATGCTTTTTGTGTGTTCTGGACGTTTAATCTGCTAACTCTGTCAAAGAGAAAATAATAATTTAGAGTAGGAAATTCTTCGCTGCCTTTGGTCGTTTTTAGAAATGTTGGGCAGTGATATATAGTCGCCTTCTCCAGATGCGCAAGTGGATGGCCGTTTCGGGCTATTCCCGGGCCAGTTCTTCTTGTCCGTGCAGGTCCGCGTAGCCTTCTGGGGTTCTCCCAGCTCCAGCAAACAGCCCTTCGGCCCGTCTGAGGCCGCGGCGTTTTTAAAGGTTCCGCTGAGGCCTGCTTGCCTGCCCGAGAAAGGAGCGCAGGCCGCTGACCGAAGATCCGGGACCACATCATCGGGTTTTCTCCTCTCCGGGATTTCCACAGCGAAGGCCGGCAGAGGAACGCTCCCTGGGGAAGTGAACAGGACGGCAAAAAAGCCCCCGCGCCAATGACTCTGCGGGGCCCTTCCACCCGGCCTTCGGAAAGACGGCGGGCGCGGCCTGGCCAGCTTTGCCCCTGGGTTGAGTTGTTCCCTCTTCCGCTACATCCGTCCAAAATGCCTCCGTCGCAGGAGACTTCCCAGGCAAAGACGCGGCCAACGGGTTGTTGCGGCCTTTCTGAGTCTAGCTCTAGCCCAGGGGTAGGCAACCTCGGCTCTTTTATGACTCATGGACTTCAACTCCCAGAATTCCTGAGCCAGCATAGCTGGCTCAGGAATTCTGGGAGTTGAAGTCCATGAGTCATAAAAGAGCCGAGGTTGCCTACCCCTGCTCTAGCCTTTTGCTTGCTAGACGGGCTAGACTACCACTCCCATAAGCCACCTCCCGCGCGGGGTGCAGTAATTGGAATTGTAATGGCGGGAGCCTGATCTCTCGGGAGTCGAGCTCTGCTTCGCACCTCACGGGGAATCCGCGCCTGGAGCTCTGCGTTGCTCTGAAAGGCGCGACCTGCGTCCCTTGCGTGGGAGCGGGAAGCCCTGTGCTCCTTTCTGACAATTCCTTTCCTCGAAGGCGGCGGCGGCAGCTGAGGGGAGCCTCTCAGTCGGCCGGCTGATAGCCGCGGCAGAGCGGCACCCTTCCTCGCTGGTTTTCCCGCGCTTTCACGGCTACGAGGCCGAGGTGTACTAACGAAACGGGTCCGAGACTCGCGTCCAAGTCCCCAGCCGGCCACCGAGCTCGCGGGCTGGTGACTTAAAATGCCGGCGGCCAACCGTTTCGTCTCTAAGGCTTTTTTTTCGCGTAGCTTTTACCCAGCCTGGCGGCGGCGGCGATGGATTGTGCCCTATCGGCTAGCGGGAATTAGAGGAGCCGCAGCACACAAGAAAAAGGGCTGGCTCGGAAAAAGCCGCGGTCTCTCCGCCGTCCTCCCCCCCCGCCCGCCCGCCCGCCCGCCCGCAATTGTGGGATTGAAAATGGGAGCAGAGCGCCTTATAAACCGCCTGGGGCTCCCAGAACAACGAGATAGGAGGGAAGGGCGAGGAAGAGCTCCGTGGCTCTGAGGGCCCCGTGCAGGCAATGCTTTGAGGCGGGAGAAAGGCAGGGCAGCGGGGATTTATTTATTTATTATTTATTTATTTATTAAATTTATATACGCCCCCTATCTCCCTTGCGGGACTCAGGGCGGTGAACAGGCGATACTAAAAACCACGATAATAAATAAATAGGTTGTTTTAAAATCGAATTAAATAACAGGCCTGTTCTAAAAACACACCCGTAAAAAAACCTCCCACTGAAACACAATCCAAACTACGCCAGGCCGGCCGCACGGAATAGATGGGCCTTCAGGGCTCGGCGAAAAAGGCGCAGGTCCGCAACTGTACGTAGGTCGGGGGGGGGGGGTAGGTCATTCCAGAGGGCAGGAGCTGCCACAGAGAAGGCTCTCCCCCTGGGGGTCGCCAGCCGGCATTGTCTGGCCGACGGCACTCTAAGGAGGCCCTCTCTGTGGGAGCAGACTGGTCGAAGGGAGGTGTTTGGTAGGAGGCGGTCTTGCAAATACCTAGGTCCATTGCCATGGAGCGCTTTAAAAGTTGTTACTAACACCTTGAAGCGCACCCGGAAGGCCACCGGCAGCCAGTGCAGCTCGCGCAGGAGAGGTGTTACATGGGAGCATCTAGAGGCCCCCCAAATCCCCCGTGCGGCCGCATTCTGAACTAGCTGGAGCCTCCGGGTGCACCTCAAGGGGAGCCCCATGTAGAGAGCATTGCAATAGTCCAGGCGGGAAACAGCGAGGGCTTGAGTGATCACTTGACCCTGACCGTTTGGGGATCTCCTTCGCAGAAATTAGCCTTTTACTCGAAGATGCAGGAAGCCGCCGAGAGCGCCAGCACCAGCGGCAGCAGCAGCAGCAGCTCCTCCTTCTCCAACCACACCGCCCCGGCCAGCATCAAGGAGGAGGAGTGCAGCCCGGAGAAAGAGCGCCCCCCCGAGGCCGAGTACATCAACGCCAGGTGTGTCTTGTTCACCTACTTCCAAGGGGACATCAGCGCCGTGGTGGACGAGCACTTCAGCCGAGCCCTCAGCCAGCCCAGCAGCTACTCGCCCAGTAGCGCGGGCCTCAAGGCCGTTGCAAGGAGCTCCGCCGCTTGGAGAGGTGAGCTGGGTAGTTTCTTCGTCTCCGGCCTCCTTCAGGCTAGCTTTGCCCTCAGGGGGAGTCTTTTGTCACCCGAGGCTCAAGAAGATGCACCTCTTCAGAGCTTAGGTCAAGTAGTAGTCAACCTGTGGCCTTCTGGTGACTTGGGTTATAACTCCCAGAATCCTCTGACGAATTATAATCCAAGGCATCTGGAAAACTGTTGCCTGCCTATGTAGATGTAGATCAGGGGTAGTCAACCTTGGCTCTTTTATGACTCGTGGACTTCAACTCCCAGAATTCCTGAGCCAGCTGTGCTGGCTCAGGAATTCTGGGAGTTGAAGTCCACGAGTCATAAAAGAGCCAAGGTTGACTACCCCTGATGTAGATCAGTGTTTCTCAACCTTGACAATTTTAAGGCATGTGGACTTCAACTCCCAGAATTCCACAGCCAGCAATGCTGGCTGTGGAATTCTGGGAGTTGAAGTCCACATGCCTTAAAATTGTCAAGGTTGAGAAACACTGATGTAGATTGTTCCTTTTGGTATTGGGAAAGCCACAGCTTTCCGGATTCAGAGAGATGGCGGTTTTGTGGAGATTTTAAGAAACCTAACTAAAAAACCAAGTGCTGTTGTTGTTCAAGAATAGGTAGTAGTTGCAGAATGCAAGTTTGGAATACTTTAAGAGAAGGAGAATATTCCTATCACTGTAACATTGATTAGCAAATAAATGAGTCTGCTTTGGATGCATTCTTTCATAGAATTCTGATCAGGACTGGCCCTTATGTTAGCCAGAGCAGAAAGTCCTCTCCAAAAAAATCTATCTTGCCCTCAAATGTAACCGATATTGTCCCATCATTGGGGTTGAAGAAATATTTTTATATTCTTTGTAGACAAAAAGACAGGGGAGACCTTGCAGCAAAATGTCTTGGGCCATCTGATAGCAGCTGTTGAAGGAATGAGGGCTAGCAGGGTAGAATTTATATCTTGGGGATAAGTCTCTGCAATTCCCTTCCCTCAGCAGGAAAACCAATGTCATTGCAATCATGTTTAGAAACTTCCACGCTCACACTACCAAGCTAAGGTGGGGAACTATAATAATTAAGATTATTTTTAAATATAGATTGCTTTTAAAGTACAGTATGTAAAAGAGAGCAGAGCTGATAGCTGGTTTGCTATAACATACTTTAGTTACTATCAAAATGACTAAAGGCAACCAAGTTTGTGAGGCTTATTTCATTTTAACAGAACTACCAATCATCATATTCTTTTATCTAAGATGATAAAAGAATAAAAGAATTTGAGCCCAGGAATATGTTTTGAAAGAAACATATAAGTAAAAGGTTCTACCTAGTATATTTCATTCCCCAAGTAATTTCTATAGAGCAGTGGTGGCGAACCTATGGCACGCGTGCCAGAGGCGGCACTCAGAGCCCTCTCTGTGGGCACATGCGCCATGTCCCGGAGATGGCAACCGTCCCTCTTCAACCAGCCGCCTGCTAACTTACTGAGGTCCTACATGGCCAGATGCATCCTAGCACCCATGCGCTCGCTGGCCTCTGTGTGCAGGGGCTGATGGTGTCAGGCAGCCCTCACCTTGCCCTGTGACAATGGCAGCCCCGGCCCATCTCACCTTGCCCTGTGACAATGGCACCCCCACCTTGCCTCACCTCACACCGCAGGACGAGACTCCTGCCCACCGCCTCACCTGCCAGAGACCCCCTGGATCTCCCTCAACCGTGCCCGGCTCCCACAGGTGTCCCTCCCCATGAGCAACATCAAGGTGATCACGCCCACCTTGGCCACACCCACCCAATCTGCCATGACCACCACAGCCACACCCACCCAGTGGGCCATGTCCACCTGGCACCCAGCGATAAATAAGTGGATTTTGGGTTGCAGTTTGGGCACTCGGTCTCTAAAAGGTTCACCATCACTGCTATAGAGGGAAAGAGGGGAGTATATCTCCAGTCTGTGTGCAGAACTGGTAAAGAAGTTTATGTGAGCAAGAAAAGTTTCTTTTCTCGAGGTTTACCTACTGCCTGTTTCTGTTCATGTTCAGGGTGGATGATTGGAGGGCAGACCAGTGATATTTCTGGATAAAGGTTTATGATTTGATCTGTCCAGCAGCCTCATCCATGTAAAAACTTGTATTAGAAAAAGGGAACAGATAGCAACCTGTGTTCACTTTTGCCAGAGATGGGGAAAGCTCCTGTGACTTTGCTCAACCTCCCCAACCCTTCCCCCCCCCCAAACTATCAGGACTGGTTCTATTCATCAATTAAAACAGCATAATCTTGCCAGATTACCTTCTCCTAAAACTGATCTCAGGCACGTTTAGAGGCAGGAAAACTTTTTTGTCGTCTTATGTTGATTTCTGCTTTCCTGCTGGCCATAATGAAGAAACTTATTACTGTGCCAGATGGTGCTCTGCTTTGGTCAAATAGAATTCTCTGGAATCTTTTTCAATTGGGTTGCGGGAATAGTTAATATTGGCTGAATAGGTGCCTGGTTCATGGATTACATTAAGCTATGGCTTAATTTTAGCTTGGTGTCAGTGTGAACCCAGAAGCTGTGGTGGGAAATCATAGTTTTATACTTTAGGGTGTCACTCAGCAATTCTGAGTTGTTAAAGAAATCATGGTCTGGCACATATGAATATGTTTAGAGTCTTGTTTTAATAAAGCTATGAGGTTACATATATTTATACAGAAGATTTGTTAAGTAGGTAATTGGATTTTTTCCCCAAAAAGTGAGCTAAGTATATTCATTTATGAAATCAATTTATTTGAGTGCCCATCTTGCAAATGCAATTCTGAGTGGCTAAAAACATATTAAAACAATAAAAAAAACCTATATTTGGAAGTGTAAAAAGTAAACTTTGGTCACTGAGGATGAATCCAATAAAAGAATAAACAGATATTTTTTCATGTGCCAAGAATGCATGCTATTCTTATAAATCAAGTTGTATGTACAAGTACAGACCAGCTTTTTACTTATACACTACATGGAAAACAAACAGTATTAAACATAATGTTCATCGAAAAATGTTTATAAAATTATCACGGTTAACCAAGATTTGCTGAATAAGCCACAACCATTCAGTATTGAAAGATAACAGACATTCATTATTATCTTTACAAAAAGATTGCTTACACCAGTCTTATATCCTGAGATAAATGGGGGGAAAGAACTAACAAGTCACTGGGATGAATAGGTATATGTAGATGAGAATGTTTCCTATTAATTGCCAAAATCTTCCTGGAGGAAGGTTCAGGGGCTAGCCTAGTGCTGGGAGAAGAAACTAGATTATTTTTAGTGGAGCAACCAGTAGATGGGGGGGGGGGCACTATACCTTTTGCACAGAGAGGACAGCACTTAGAAATGGGGTCTCCTAGTAAATGTCTATGCCACTGAGAGTTTCTGAAGGCAAGCAGATAGAGGAGGGCACTGGCATTGTTTTGTGACAAAACCCAACAGGCTTTATTTAAGTCTAACCTAACCCTTATTTGTTGGATGGAAGCTTGAAGGAATGGGGCTCTGCAGCCCAGCCTTCTTTCACTTTTCTTTTGAATGAAATGGAGTATCTGAGTGCTGTGCCTGATCATGGAGAATCCCTCAACATAGACCCAACACCACCTCAATATCTATGGCTATACCACAATAGTAGTCTTATCGGTCAAAGTAAAGTCAGTATAAGTTCAAAAGGAACTTTTTTTGCAGAAACTGCCTTGATTTCTTTTGTGGGAACCAAACTTCCTGTCTGTAAAAGTGTGTCATGGTCAGACAGTGCTATTTCAGAAGCACTGGAGTTTCAAATTTCAGCCATAGCCATAAAGAGTTGCGGCACCTGAAAGATGAACAAATTTTATCATCACATAAACTTTGGTTAATAAATAGTTCACCTTTAGGTGTCAAAACAATCTTTGTTTTTATGCCTGAAAATTGTGCTGCTACAGGTGCCCAGTTCCTAAACAAACCTAAGGAGAAGATGCACTTGAATATTGTATGCTTCCCACTGGATATCACTGTGTCATTTTTTTAGCAGCAGTACCAACATGCTTTTACACTGTCTTTTTTCTGGATTTTTTAAAAAAAATTCCAGCCTTTGTATTCTCATACAATCTTCCATCCAAGCACTAATCAAAGCAGCACCACTTAGCTTTCAAGTCCTGACAAAGTTGGTGGGATGCTCATAGAGAAAATTTAAATCATCTTCTGAGAGCCAAACTGACTTTAAAACACATAATCATTCCAGATATACACACACAACAATGTATGACATTTATGTCAGGTGAAAATATTATGGGTCTTAAATATTTCTTATTTAAAGCTTTAAAATTCAGAAAAGTAACCAATTTGAAAGGGGAGTTTTAGACTCTTATGTCATCTTCCTTGGAAGTAAACCGTGCTGAAATCAGAAATACTTATTTTTGGCCAAGTATGTATAGATTTGTATTTTTACAAAGCAGTTCTCTCTAGTAAGACAACACACTATTCTACTGAGTGTCCAACTGGTTAAGGTGGGCTGCTTTATACAACTTTTTCTATTGAGAAATTCAGGTCATTTAATAACTGCTCCCATCAGAAGCCATCAAGATGCCTTGGTCTATCATCCCAGCCAGTCAGTCAGCCAGCCAGCCAAACCTTGTCTTGGGGCACCTTCTGTCTGAAATGCAAATTATTGGACACATCTCTGCACCTTGAAGCATTTGAGAGGGTGACAGATTCTCACTGCACCACCATAACTGCATCACATAAACCTTGGTGTGACTCATTAAATATGGCTTGCTTATGAGCAGACCAAAATTTAACTATATGGTACCGATTTGCTTTAGTCCACACATTATGCTAAACCAAAACAAACAAGTCATATTGAGGTAAACTATTATGGTATGGGGCTATTATTATTGTGCCATAAACAATATGGTTTATGAACTGTGGTGTGTGTGTTAATATGAGGTCTGAACCCAGCCAATTAGGATGGATAAAAAAATATATTGGCAATGTCCTTTGCTTCCTTGTTGCTTAACCAGCGATTCCCAGCTCTTGCAGTGCAGTTTGATGGGTGAATTCATCTCTAAAATTTCCATAATTTCATCCTAAAGTGCCTCAGAAAATGCTTCCTCACTTCTCTTAAGCAATGAATTGTGCTCAAGTAAAAACTTTCAGTTTCAAAGTGGTGTATGTCCTGCTGTACAAGACTTATTTGGAAGAATTTACCACAACTTCAAGTAACC